CACACACACACCCGCGCGCGCACGCATACGTGCCAGCCGTGGCTTCGGTTTGTGTTGGACATGTTCAGTGCAGCCTTAGGGGCTTAGCATCCCGCACACGCAACTCCGAAACCTTAATCCCCAGCTTCTTAACCGAACAGCCCGGAGCCTAAAATGCTGATACTCTGGCCGAGTAGAGTGTATTCGGGCTTCGTAACCAAGTGATTGCAACTTTTGTTCATGACATGAGCATTCCGGCATACGGCGATTCGGGTGTTGGGGAGGCTCCATGAGCTCTACGACATCTTTCTCGATGCTTGGTGCGAACACGTTTGAAGCTAGCTTGGCTGCTGTGAAAGCCTGGGCTAGCCCTCAATCACCATAGTCTTCTGTAGTTTGAGGAATGACTGGGCTTTAGCATTAAGAGAAAGCTCTAGATTTAAGAGGGCAACAAGACATTCCCAAGTGACAACTGTACCCAACCCTCGCGTCTGCCCAAGAAATAACAGGAATGCATTCTGTAGCTTGATGCTGGGACTACTATAATAGCTTAAATGATTCCCGAATCCTTCTCCCTCCCTGAAAGCATATAGGGCCTCTCTAGACTACAAACTTGCGCGCATGGAGTCATGGAGATGCTTCCTCGTTAGAAAATATTTGCCCAGCATGTGCAGCTTCCATTGAGGTGTCACGTTTCGAGCTGGTGCATTCGAGGATGTTTGGGTTACATATTCACGCCGCAGATTCGCATGCTCATCCTGCAAGCTGAGGATCTTAGACCCTCCATCTACCCTCTTTTGGACCCTAATTACCCAGTATTGGAGACCATATGCCATATATACTTCGTTTCTTCAGGTACAAGGAAGGTCTTGGAACAACCTAAGGTGCTTCGGGCGTAGGGCGTGTGGGGAAGGTTTCCTTCCATTTCAGCAATGGCACTAAAAAGCCGTAAACCCAAAGCCTTATCAACCCTGAACCCTCAACCCTAAANNCCTAAACCCTAAGCCCGAAACCCTGGTTCATACTCAGGCCGAAAGTTTTGGATTTTGGGTTTAGTGATGTTATCGTAACCCGAGACCCTTAAAAGCCTTCGATTGCCGCGCCCCCCTTCACTTGAGATGATGCATCATGCCCTACACCCTACAAACCCATAAACCGGCTCCGCTGAAAGGGGAGTCTCTTCGAAACCTTCAAGGCTTTGCGACACACATACCCCAATGCTAGGAACCCTGAAATGATCCTAAACCACAAAACACTCAACCCCCAACCCAAACCCGTTACCCTGCTACGAACCCTCAGAACCAAAGACAAAAAGGCACCTTGAGAAACAAAAAATCGAGACAACGAAGGAGGGCTACTGCCAGGGACGATCCGTGCTGAACTCCTGGCAAGTTTGAGCGGCTGCACTTCATACACGGGTCTGAGTGGTTATTGATCTACTATCCCCGGGATCCCTACAATAGTATTACAAATTTTTCAGATGTAACATAGAAGCCTCTCTAATTGCTTATATTTTCCTTGGGGTTCTTGATCATAACTATAGTAGAATGGGCCCCCAAAACACGATTCTATTGATTAAGGCCCCGGCCCCTACCGTACCCCCGAGACGGCGTTTTTTTATCCTTTTTTCGAGTTTCAGAGTTCAGGGTGTCGGATCTTGGCTTGCGACTGATTATAGGGCCTTCGTGTTTAGGGTTTAGGATTTAGGGTTTAGGGTTTAGGGTTTAGGGTTAGGGTTTAGGGTTTCGGGTTTCGGGAGTGCTCACTGGTCACTCCACATTTCTAGTCACTGCTTACCCTAAACTACCAAACCCTAGCTGCTTGTAGGTTATACGGCATAACATATACCTGCGGTCTCCATTGTAGCAGTCTGAAGTTACGGCTTGGATTCTAGCCCGAGATCTGCGTCTTGTGGCTGTGACTTCGTGTTTTGGCTGGTTTGTTACATTGTGTATTCCTTTTTGCTTTCATTGGCTTACACACCGGATCGAACATCTGGGGCATTCGGGGTTGCACCGCAGGCCTGTGTGTATCACTGTATCACCATGAGGCACGTCTGGTGAAATCTATCTGGGGGTTTCAGAGACCTTGGGAAGACCCAACCTAGAGCTTGAGGGGTCATGGACCTGGATGTTCAATGTTCTCTAGGCTTCTCGATGCATTCCCGAATATAGACCATGACTAGTTGGATCATGATAATTTTCACCCCTTGACGTAGGCACCAGAAGTTTTAGGACACCGACACTCGAAGTTCAAAAAGCCAGCTCATGAAGGGACCCTAAACCCTAAGCCCTAAAGCCTAAGAGCCAGGAAGTATCACTTCATGAAGGGAGGCCAGCAGCGAGTCTTGGGCGTCCCTCTTGGCGCACTCTGGCTTCAATGATGTTCCCGCACAGAGGCTCTCTCAGAGTTCGGGCAAGTGTGGCCCAAAGTCCTTATAGTTTATGGTTTAAGAATAACTTATACAAATTCTTTGAATGACTTGAAGTTCCCGGACCAGGTGTTGGAACGACCGTGGTCAGCCAGAAGCCTCAACTCGTGCATAGGCTCTTCTTTCCCTGCAGTCCGAAATCCCTGAGCCCGAATCCCTAAAACTTGAATCCAGGAATCGTCGTCGTAGGGAGTGCTTACGGAACTCGTACAGAACCCCAAAGGACCGTTCCACAACACTCTAAGTTTCAACACATCTAGGCAAAGCCACGAACCCGAAAGCTAAACCCAAAACCTCCTTGTGAGAGAAAGAGTAAAGTAGCAGAGCCCTAAACCGTTTAACCTCAAGCCCTAAACCCTAAACCCTAATCCCTAAACCCTAAACCCTAATCCCTAATCCCTAACCCCTAAACCCTAAACCCTAAACCCTAAACCCGAGGCCTTGCAGTGGAAGCTTTGGCACCGCCGAGAGCTGCAGCTACTCGCGGCACTCGATGAGGCGGAGCTGAGGAGGCTGGGCTGCCGAGATCTTCTGATACCCCTTACCACACTGTACGCATGGGCCCATAGTAGTTCCTTTCTTGGGATTACCTTATACCTATAGTCTCCATTGTAGTTCCCTTTTTTGGGTTTAACCAACTAGATATTCAGGATTTTATAATGTAAAGGAACTACAATACCCCTTAGTTCAGGAGCATACCTAAACCCTAATTTCTAAACCCCAAACCCCATCAGGGTTTAGGGTCTAGTAGGATATGTTAAGCGTAGCTATTCGGGTTTAGGGTATGTTAAGAGTATATCCTTATGGTGCCAGTTCGAGGTGCGAGAATATGCCACACAATGCTAGTTTAATCATCCTATTTGGTTTCGGAGCTTGGTGTCAGGGGCTTTCGGGATTTGGGGCCCCTTTTGTTCGCTTGTTTTCGTGTGTACCTGTGAGGCCGGATTTGTGCCCTAAACCCTAAGCCCCTAGGGTTTTCGGAAGTTCGGGGCTGTTCAGGCCCTAAGATGCCGAGTTTGCAGTGCACAGGTTTCGGGGGTTGACAGGTTATAGGAGGGTTGGGAAGGTCTTCGTTAAGCTTGAGTTTGGGCCTGTCTCATGCCTGATTCTCTCAACCGGTTCTGGGACATGCCGCTCCTGTTCGTGATTTTTGGTTGCGAAATCCTGGCATGTTAGGGTTTAAGTGCCTACAAGTCCATCAGTATAACTATGTTATGCCTTTGGACTTCAAAACCCTAAACTTCAGCCCATGCTACAGCAGAGGGTCGCATTAAGGAGCCCGAAACCGAGACTCTCCAAAGCCCTGGCTTAGCTCTAAGCCCTACCCCGAAACCCCCAACACATAGGTAAAATACTGGCCCGAAACCTATAGCGGGCTATTGTTCTACATATCTTGGGGGTTCAGATAAACCGTCAAGCCCTCATGCAAGTTGAACGGTTTGGATAGTTCCTTGAATTAGGATCCTTTTTTAGGAGGCTTATTTAGAGTGCTCCCCATATCCCGAGCCCAGTGCTCAGTGGGCTTAATGCAACTCGGGTGGAGGTGCATTCAAGATTCAATTGAACGTTGTTCCCGAGGCTTCTGCTCTTCAAGAGGCAGAGCAGAACATCAGAAAGATCATGACCACGGCTACTACAGACTCAGTGAGTGCGTTTGAAGATGTGGCAAAGACATTGCCAACGTCGGAGTTGGACACATTCGCCAGCATCTTAGAGGCTACAAACATCTCGACGGAGAACAAGATTAGCAAAGTGGCGACCTCTTCCGTCGCAGAGAACTTGTTGATGTGAGTTTGCAGAATTCGTAGTTGTAGCTGCCGGGGAACGCCCGAACCTTCTAATATCGAAAAGCAGCTTCTACTTCATTTGACCCATAGCCAGACCTTACTTGTGAATCTTTACTGCGCCCGACTACATCCGCATCGGGAGCTGTATTTCAGGCTCAGCCGAACCCAAAATAGCCACGCTCCGGTCAGCGCCCCAAAACCCAAACCTCAAACCCTGAACCCTGAACCCTGAACCCGCCCTAAACCCTAAACCCCTAAACCCCTAAACCCTACCCTTCCTCAGGCGTTGGGAGCCGCTGGAAGCGGGGAGCTTGGTCCTGAAACTGCAAAAAAACAGTTTAGGGCTTTAGGGTTTAAGGGATTTAGGGTTTAAGGGTTTAGGGTTTATGGTTTAAGGCTTTAGGGTTTAGGGCTTTAGGGTTTAGGGTTTAAGGATTTAGGGTTTAGGGCTTTGGGGTTTGGGTTCAGGGTTTAGGGTTTAGGGATTTAGGGTTTAAGGGTTTAGGGTCTAGGAGTAGTATAATTTAGGAATTACAAGGCTCCGTTGGTCCATGTACCCAATTCGTACATACTCTAGCCCTCTAGCCCTCAAGTCGTCCCTCTACAAGTACTTTGGGGACAAAGTATATATCATTTGGGTACAGGGTTATAAGTTATACAGGGATCATAAGCAGAAATTATTACTGAGCCAACCCGTCCTCCGAAACACTACCTCTGAAGCAAGTTTTACAGAGAGCCCAAGTGCCCATTATAACCATTTGAAGCAGCTGACCCTAAACCCTAAACCCTGAAACTTAAACCCCCTGAGCCCTAAACCCTACACCCTAAACCCTAAACCCTATACCCCAATAATAACCTTAGCTGCTAGGTCCCATGATCCTTTCAGTACCATGGGTTACCCTTTTGAAGCAGCTGAGGCAACGATGCAGCGTTACGGGCTGGCGCCAGACGAGGCTTTTGGCCGAAGCGAGGTTTGGGCGCTTCTCAGGAGCGTTCTTTTTAGGGTTTAATATAGGGGCCTTAATAATTAGAATAGGGTTTTGGGGCCCATTCTACTATAATTATAGTAATTAAATAATGGCATTTTTTTAGGGTTTACGGCTTTAGGGTTTAGGGTCTTACTAGGGTTGCTTAAGGGTTCTATGGGCGGGCCCCTTGGGTTTAGGACTGAAGGTCTGGTTGGGGGGGTTGTCTGGGTCTGGGGGCATATAGGGTTTGGTTAGGTTTCTTGGTTTTAGGACTTATACCAGGTAACTCCGACGCCTTCAACTCGCAATTGCATGACCATGTTTGCTCGACGAAACTCTACAATCTCTGCTTTGGGGTAGGCATCTGAATTCAGAAGTGGTCAGAAATACAGACCTCTCAAAAACATGGTAAAGACATGTCGACCTATGTAAGCCCTCCCCCTGAACTCTGAACCCTAAACCTAAGCCCCTAACCCTAAACCTCTAAACCCT